TGCCTATGCAGGGGGTCGGACTCAATGATCTATTGAGGTCCCTTCCGACCCTAACATCTATGAATCTATGAATAGTTCCCACTCTGCCACCTGCCGTGCCCCAATCTGGAGGTACACGACCATCCCCTTCCCACATGCCCTGCCGCTGCTCGCCCAGCTGGGGTGAAGCCGCTGCTTGTCTAGGAGGTGTGGGGAGGCCACTGTGCACCGCTTGTTCGGAAGCAGCATAGCCCGTTCCTAGCACCTTCCGCCTCGAGTGCAGCTCGGCGCAGTCCTGGCTCCATGCAGATCCTGGGGCACATGCCCCCTGTCCTCCTGGACTGGCGGCAGGAACAGCAATGAGAACTGCCAGACAAGCAGCTCCTGGACTGGCATCGCGCAGCAGCGCGAGCTGCCCCACCCCCTCCCTAAGCAGCACTTGCCCTAGCCCCGGTCCCAGCCCGAGCCCCAATCAATCCCTCGCTGCATGGGCATTGATCTGCCAACCATTGTAAAGACAAAACTCATGTAGGAACCTTGAAACAGGGTGTCAATTTACAAATGTTGTAAATGCCGTTTGTCATAACTTGAAAAGTCTTAAGTTGAGGGCTGCCTGTATAGGCACTCTAAGGTGACTCAGTGGTCACAGTGGCCTTGGGTCTGACTTGACTTGATAGTGTTTAGCACAAGGCTTGCAAATTGCACTTGAGGCTGCAAACTGCACAGTCCATACTACAATACGCATTCATTAGCTAAATTAATACTTTGTTTAATAACAAATAATTCTGCCTGAAAATTTTATTTTTATTTTTTGCTGTGAAGTGCATGCTGCCCTATACAGTACGATCTGTCCAACTTGCTTTAGATTTTTAAACATGAAAAACATTTCCATTACAGCTGAACAATTTTTAGAATAAACAATCCATGGCATGGCTTACACTGAACATTCATCTACAAACCAACAAAAAAGTGCCTATGAACTGAACGTGTCAGTATAATTAAGTTTGCAACTTTCTTAAAGTAACAATAAGAACATCAACAGCAAAAACAGTACAACTACTCAGCCACTGTTAATACAATGATTATTAAAAAACGTATCAGCCTGCATTTCCTGATAAAGTTATCACTTAGGTAGGTACGGTTATGATTTCAGTGTTCGTCTCAGTGTTCTGGCATGAAATGTTAGCCAATGTTTCATTTTTAACTTACCATTTTCAGTGATCCACCTTATGTGGATCAGTTTGATGACCTCTTAGACTGAAACTGATAACATTCAGTTTGATGACCCCAGAGACTGAAACTGAAGACAGACAGATAACATTCAGTAGGTTTCAATTTTAATCCTCTACTGAAGAACTACACCAGTAAGCGGACTTTCCTTGTCCTGTCATGCTGAGATGCCTTGAAAGTGGTGCAACCAGGTCAGAAATGAGGCACAACATACCAGTAAACAAGAGCAAGAGCTGAGGTTATAAATTCATTTGATACTGGGTGGTAACAATGGGCACAGGCAGAAGTTACATTTGTCATGTGATCAGCCCATTGAAAGCACTCTCCAGCTCTGCCCTTACAGAAGAGCAGGGCAGCAGAGTGCTTTAAAAGTGCCCGATTGCATGGCAATCTAAACCCTCGCTACGTGAGGGTTCAGATGAAGGCTCTCCAAAGCAGAGTGCCTTCATGAACATCTGTCAGTGCGCCAGGAGCAGGGATGGGCTGATACAGCTCAGCCCCACCCCCGGGGCTGTCTTCAGAACGGGAGAGGGAGAAGGGAGGGGAGAGAGATCCATTTCGGGTTTGCCCAGCCTGGCCTGGAAGGTGGGGTGGGTGGATTGGAGCCACCCTGCCCTCCAGGCCCCCTGCGGGAGGGGCAGGTGGAAGAGCTCCAATTCCCCTGCCCCACCCTCCAGTGTAGGCTGGGCAAGCCCCAGCCCAAGCTCCCTCCCCTCCCTTCTCCCTTGTCCTGTCCCATCCCAAAGACAGCACAGGAGCTGGGAGAGAGGGGTGGAGGGATGGTGCTAGGAGAGAGAGGCTGCAGACACAGCTGCTTCAAAGTGGAACTCGATCCTCCAACACCTCAGACCCAAAAGCAAACTCTGTTGAGTTGGGAGGAACGCTGTAACTCATGGTTTCCCACAAAGGAGGAAGCTGCATGTCTGTCAGTGCCCAATGGTTGTTAACCTGGGCTGGTTTAAATCCAACAACCCAAAGGCAGTGAAACCTGTAAACCCCTAGAGCAATCTAGTAGTCCAACCGTATTTTTTTCCAATTGCACAAAATGAAAAAATAAAACAAAAGATGCATAAGATATGATGTAACCTCAGCCAAATGGTAAAAACTGAAACATGTGCCCCAAACATCCCTGAGATGATTCAGTTTGACCAAATACTGCAGTACATCTGGCCTCTAGGGCCATGTCCAGACAAGCCTGGACATTTGGTTCCCTGGAGACAAGTAGCAGCAACACAGCTGGTATCGCTGCTACTTGCCTCTGGGGAACGCCTGTGCCACATGCGTTCTGGTGCACAGCAGGTTACCCCAGGTGGGTTAGGGGAGGCTGAGGCCAGCAACTGTACTGGCCCCAGAGCCTTACCTGGGGTCCTGGGGAAACTGCAGCCATGGCACTCCTGCAGCTGGGAGCCTGGCCAGCAGTCAGAGTATGGCTCTGGCTTGCCAGGCTCTGGTTTTGGATGGCATGCACTGTCCTGCTTTTTTTCCATGTGGGTTTTTTGACTCTGGAATCTCCTGGGGTCACCCCCCCCACAAGGTAACAGTGTGGGGAATGTCTGAATGTGCAGCGGCACATACCACACAGCCACGCTTGTCTGGACGTGGCCTAGAAGACCCTCCTCATTATCACTTACAAAGAACCCACATTTAATTCTCCCTAATTTAACAGCAATTATTTCTTTGCAGAGCATTTGCCAGGGATTAGTTACCAATCAGCACTACCAGACATTCCCCAGAAACAAGAAGTACCCTTGGATCACTACTTTTAATGCAATAATTCAGTAATTCTATAGCCACTCTTTATCTTACCCAAGTTCTAACAGTAATAGTGATTTAAGATGTGCTGAAGAGAAATACTACCACACAGCTGACCCAAACTCCTACTGGAGTTACTGGGAAGTGCTGGCCTTTGGAAAGTGAAAAGTTCCTTCCCCTGGACTCAACAGGATACTAACAGCCAGGACTTGCTGATTCTGAGTTTCTTGTAGTGGAAGAGAATCGCATTGTGACTGGACTTTGTGCCTAGTGTAACAACCTACAGGGTCCTGAACACAAGGTGCAGTGGCCTGATTTGGAGGCTGACACCAGGAAGCTCTATGTACTTGGAGAATTTCACAGTAGTTCTGAATACACAATGTGCCTTATGGCTGCAAGTGGCAGTACTGAGCACACAGCATTTCAAATAAAGATCGAACTTGTTGGAGTCCTTTTACTACCGCATTGAGCACTGTACATGAAACACCTCGGAGCTGTTTCAAGTGATACCATAACCACGACCCATCCTCTACAAAAACTGTTAGGATTAGCGTGGACCAGGTTGAGTCCCCTCATGTTCAATTCAAGGGAAGTTAATCTTGGGGAGGGATCTCCCCTTGGAGATTCCCATGTACCACTTGTCCAGAATACAGGTCATCTCTTCAGTGGAAGGCAGCTCACAATGCAGCTGCAAACCAGGTAGGTGACTAGCTAGGCTATGGGGAGACATACATTTGTAGTGTTACAAAAAGCCTCAGAATGTTGAAACTTGCCAGCATTTCAAGTCTTGTTAAAAATCAATACTAATGTATCAGGCAGCACCAAAGCCAATTCTTTTAAAAGTTAGTTTAAAATTAGTTTTAAAAGTTAGTTTAATAATATTAGTATTTTTAAAAGTTAGTTTAATATTAGTATTAACAAGAGATCCAGCCTCACGGACTTAGGAGCTTACAAATGGCTCCTTAGCAGCTTACAAATGGCTGCTGTAGAATGCTTCCATTCTACAGCAGCCATTTGGCTCATTGCAAACAAGCTATTACAGGCTTCCCTATACTTTGGGACAAGTCACTGTACTAGGACCCACTGCAAGAGTTAACCTTTGAGGAGCTGGTTCCCTATCCGGTATGGATACCACTGTATAAAACTAATTAAAATTTCACTAGCATTAGTGTATCATGTGTCTAGGCCCTTAGAACTAACCATCAATTGAAAACAAGATTGAGGCTTGCTAACAAATAGGACCAATCTGGGACCTTTCCAACTGCACCCCTTACCTTTCAGTCTGCTATTGCAAATGTGGCTTTCCACACCAGAGCGAAATGCCCTTCTCAAAAATTTGGTCCAGCGCATAGCTCCTCTGCTTACCCCTGCTTTCATATGCATTCTTCCATGCTGTGCACACTCTGCCAACTAAGTATTTCTCTGCATATAGTGCACACCTTATAGAAATGTGAATAACAATTGTAGAAATCCCCTTGCAAGTTGGACTTTGCCCCTTTGCAGCCTTTTAGAGGCAAATATTTCTTGGAAACTACGACAAATAAACACACAAGACAATTATGCAAATTTTTTAATTTATAACACAACAATTGAGAGGAAAGTCAGTTACTTCCAATGTCTTAGAAATGTCTCCATTTCACAGTCAGATACTCTGCTAAAAGCACAGTTATTTCAGGATAACAAGCGATGGGAAGTAATAGCCATCTGTAATCTTGATAAAGATGCTTGTCTGCAGTGTAAAAGGACCTGTACAGCAGGCTCGCACAATAGAAGTTGGGCAATTGTATATGCAGTGCCATTAGGCAACACAAAGCAATTAGGAGTATTAGTCATTTTTATCAACTACATGTATGGGAAATACTTTAAGCACTGCATCCATATTTCAGAAAACTATTCTTTTGCTACTTACCCTCTCCTTGCGCTTCCCCAAAGAGGTGAACATTTCCAATTGTAGGAGTATTGTGACACTTACAGGAAATGTTTCACTTTTGCATTTACATTTTTGTTTCATTATCTGTCATCAATTTGATGCCATGTGCTTTGTTATACATTCAGAAGGTCTTATCAACAAAGACCAAGGAAAGTGTCTGCTAACAGGGAAAATTTAGACTTGGTTGTGAAACACTTGTTTGTCTATGCTTCCTTATTAAAAAAGCTAGTATTTGTTAAAGATACCACTTTTAAAGATACTGCAATTCTCTGAAAGTTGGTGCACAGATTTCATACATATCCACAGAATCTACTTGAGTGTTTAAGGGTTACTCTGTCTACAGAGATGTATAGTACAGTGTATTGGCTGTAATCTGCAGAACCAACAAGGAGCCATTTCCAGATTAACCATTTGACAAGATTTGTCTCTACCACTGTTTCCTTTACTTAGTAGATGTGCCTTCCAGTAGGTAGACTAATCATTAAAGTGCTTTAAAGTAAGAAGACAACAGATGCAAAATGTTCATCTGGCATATTTCATACAGCACTTGCAACATATGCACTGAAACAGTCGAAGTGCTGAGAGTTTCCTGTGGACTGATGCAGTGCCAGCAGTTCCATACGTTATGTGCTGCAATTCCTCTGCCTTCGAGATGTACAGTACTTACAAAAACACAATCCTAACAGCAGAAACAAGTGCTGGTGGCTCCTTCCTTGTCATATTAGAAACACAGTAAAAAGAATTCTGCATTACACCTTTATAATTTAAATACATAAGTAATCTCCACTTTTATTACTTCATGACAATGACTTCAAATTTACATTATTTTAAGTACCATTGTAATAGCTCCATGTATAATACAGATACTTGCTGATATCTTGTCAGAAAATAAAAAAACCCCCTTCACTATATAAAAAAAAATATGCTGGAAAGACAAACACAGAACAGGGACTTGGTACAGACTATGAATTCAGTTTTCTCTCAACCAGTTAACCCAAAAAATGAACAGATACACAGCGATATTCAAAAGCAGTGCAAATATCTTTGGAGGTTAGAATAAAATTATACTACAAGAACATAAAACAGAGGAAATAAAAAGGCAAGTACTTCAAGTACAAGGAACCAGTCTGCATGAGGTCCATCTTAGTGTTTACTGGGACTTTCTTTTCCTATTTCACTTCTTCCTCTGAAACACATTAGCCAACATGGCACCTGATGTGGTCAGCTGGCCCATTTTGTTCAAGAACTTGGTCTTTGTATCTTCACTCACCAGGCTTGCAGCAATTGACATTGAGCTAGGAGAGAGTTATAAAGAGAGAAGTTACATAAAACAACTAAACCCCTAAAGAATACTGTTGTTTGCTGTTTAATAAGCAATTTGCATGTCAACACATTTATGGTCTTAAAACAAAACAATCCCTGAAAGATCTGGCTCTTAGGGTTAGCTTTGAAAATGTCAAACTCAAGGGGAAAGCTGGTTAACTGAAATATACTTTACAGACCGACTATCCACCATCCATTGTTTCAAAAAGAACCCCCCCCCCCCCCAAAAAAAAAAAAAACAAAAACAACCAACAAACAAACCCCCCAAAACACCACAGTGCTGGAAGGGTCTTCCAAGTATAGTCCCAATACACAACCTGAGAATGCCTTCAGAAATGTATCTGACTCTCTGTAGATGTCTTGTTAGTTTCAGCTTAAAATTTTAGCAATAAGCTTTGAGAACAAATGCCTTCCTGAGAAACAGCCACTCCTTTATTCCCTTCCCTCCACTAAAAGTATCAACTCTAAATGCTTCAAAATTCAATAGACAGATATGGTCTTTTATTCTTTCAAAGCTGATTCCAAAGAGCAAAGCAGGCCAAACAAATTACCTTAAAAGTAGTGTGAAAACAGCAACAAATTTGAGGAAGTTGCACTTATCATATGTAACTGAATCCAAGATGAGCCCCCTCCTCTGCACTTAGCAAGGTGAAAGAAGCCCCTTGTCTTGGATTCAAGTACAAAGCTGGGGATGGGCAGGGAGAAGCGCTGGCTGCTGTGGCTCTGACTATAGCCCCAAGCCACAGTAGCTGCATCTCCCCTACCTTTGACCCTGCAGTCCCTCCCCCACACCCCGACCCCCATCCTCACTGTCCAGCATGGCTTTGGCTCAATTCCCACCCAGGCATGAAGCACATGGAAACTCTGTACCTCGCCCAGCTAATCAGCAGCAGTAATGCTGCTGCATGTCCAGGTAGGGCCCACACTTCCATATGCTTGGTGATCTGGAAGGGAATGAAGCCAGAGTTGCATTTGATGGTAAGGTTGGGGGGGGGAAAGGGGGCAGAGCCAGTGGGGAGGCAGGCTTTGGAGGGTGGGGGTTGCAGGTAGTGGGCAGGCTGCTGGAGGAAGCTGAGAGGAGGGCACATGGCAAAGGACTACCTGCCCAGCCCTGCTTTTCCTGCTGTAGCAATGAGTGAGGGTAACAAAATTTAAGATGCTCCAATTAGATTCTGTACTTGGAAAAATTATAACATCTATCAATTTTCTATATATAAAATCTAATTTGGGGGGGGGGGGGGGGTTCACCTTAAATTCAGGGTGATTTTTTTGAGTAAATATGGTAATTCTATAAGAGACGGCAATTCTCTGGAATTTATAGGGTACTGAAATGCACATCTTCCTAAATAAGAGAACTGTCACCGTAGGAGTACTCTCTCATGGCAAATCACCAACAATATAAGTGTCACAGCAGGAAGATGAGATAATAAGTGTGCTGCACTTCCTGTATTACATTAAGACATGTTTGATTAAAATAGCAAGGCAAACATTCTTTAAAAAATGATAATACCCCATTTTCTAGAAGACTAATTCGTATCTGTGAAACTGCCCAAATCATGATAGCACCCATGTCCATACATATAAAACTTCTTGAATAATGCATACCCCTGATCATACCAATGTCTCGAATCAGAACGGACAAAGCAAGTTCAACTGGATTAGAGTGGAGATTAGTTCTACTTTGATTTCCTACAAACTGAAACATCTGTAACCAAGTAGCAGAATGGTACTCGAGGAATTACTCAATGGTTTCACCCCCGCTGCCATAAACTAAGGGAATCAATGAATTACAATCTGGCTCCTAATTTGCATGAATGGAAATATACTTTAAAACAAGAAAAAAAAAAAATCGCTTGGACTGCTGCTTTTTACACACACTAATTTTATCATTGCTGCTGATTCTCAACAGGTAAAAGAATTAAACAGAAAGATTATTATTGCAGATTTGTATTGCTTGAGATTTTGTAAAAAGACAGAGCCCCCAAATTTCTGGAAGGGCCTCAGAGTTCTGCTTGTGAAAGTAATAGACTGTTGAAATGCCCTTAAAACTCTATTTACAATAAGAGGAAAGATTTCTTATGCTTTAGTCAGTTCAATATTTTATAAATTTGATAAATGTGGTGGTGCTTTCTGAAGTCCAATCAGCATGCCAGAACCCAGCTCATTTGTTGAAAGGTATTTAGATGCCTCCCTGCCTATTTAAGAATTAAAAAACCAGACTCAGTGTTCTCTGTATGACAGTCCCACTTCATATGATAGTGTTGCACATATAGAGCAGACCTGACAGCCAGAGCCATAATCTTTCAAAATCAAAGGTTGCTGAAAAGGTTCTTTTTCTTAAAATACATTCTGTGCTACAGTGCAAAGGTCCTCAAACTTTAATATAGAAAAATATTCTAATTATCATTTAACAAGATTTAAAGAGCAGA